GATCTTACACAAGAAAGATTTCAGGGCAAGTCCATAAAGTGAAAGCAAGGTTATTTATTTTATTTTATTTTTTGAAGATGGGATTTCATTATGCAGCCATCAAAAACGATGAGTTTCTGTCCTTTGTAGGGACATGGATGAACCTGGAAACCATCATTCTCAGCAAACTGACAGAAGAGCAGAAGATCAAACACCGCATGTTCTCACTCACAGGTGGGTGTTGAACAATGAGAACACATGGACACAGGGAGGGGAGCACTACACACTGGGGTCAGTTGGGGGAAAATAGGGGAGGGACGGTGGGGGGTGGGGAGCTGGGGAAAGATAGCAAGGGGAGAAATGCCAGATGTAGGTGATGGGGAGGAAGGCAGCAAATCACACTGCCACGTGTTTTCCTATGCAACAATCTTGCATGTTCTTCACATGTACCCCAAAACCTAAAATGCAATCAAATAAATAAATGGGAAAAAAAAAAAAAGAGATGGGGTTTCACCATGATGGCCAGGCTGGTTTTGAACTCCTGACCTCAGGTGATCCACCCACCTCAGCCTCCCAAAGTGCCAGGATTACAGGCGTGAGCCACCAAGCCTGGCCCGAAAGCAAGGTTATTAAGAAAGTGAAGGAGTAAAAGAATGGCTACTCCATAGACAGAGCAGCCCTGAGGGCTGCTGATTGTCCATTTTTATGGTTATTTCTTGATGATATGCTAAACAAAGGTGGATTGTTCCTGCCTCCTCTTTTTAGACCGTATAACTTCCTGACATTGCCATGGCATTCGCAAACTGTTACCGGCGCTGGTGGGAGTGTGGCAGTGAGGACCACCAGGGGTCACATTTGTCACCTTTGTGGTTTTGGTGGGCGTTAGTGGCTTCTTTACTGCATTCTTTCATCAGCAAGGTCTTGTGCCGACCTCCTGTCTCATCTTGTGACTTAGAAAGCTTCACCTCCTGAGATTGCAGCCCAGCAGGTCTCAGCCTCATTTTACCCAGCTCCTATACAAGAGGGAGTTACTCTGGTTCAAACGCCTCTGTCACTTCCTCTTTTAATTTATTAATTTAGATTGCTATGGCAGAGGTGACTTACTGCAAACCTATCTGCCACTTTTCTTTAGTAACCACAATTGTATTTAGGTGGCAATGTGCCCAGTTAATAGACTGTCTCCCTCAGCGTCCTTGGGTGCAAGAAGTGGTCACGTGGCCAATAAGATAAAGGCATGGAGGTGTTTTGCATTTTTAGGAAGCCCCTTTAAGATGAAATACACCGGCCGGGCGCGGTGGCTCAAGCCTGTAATCCCAGCACTTTGGGAGGCCGAGACGGGTGGATCACAAGGTCAAGAGATCGAGACCATCCTGGTCAACATAGTGAAACTCCGTCTCTACTAAAAATACAAAAATTAGCTGGGCATGGTGGCGCGTGCCTGTAATCCCAGCTACTCAGGAGGCTGAGGCAAGAGAATTGCCTGAACCCAGGAGACACAGGTTGCGGTGAGCCGAGATCGCGCCATTGCACTCCAGCCTGGGTAACAAGAGCGAAACTCCGTCTCAAAAAAAAAAAAAAAAAAAAAAAAAAAAAGATGAAATACACCATTTGGAGTACACCACTTTGGCCTTTCCTTCGTGCTGCCTGGAACGTTGACGTGATGGGAGGAGCTGCAGCAGTCCGCAGTACTTTAAGGCGATCTTGAGACTAGAAGGCAGACACATGATGGAGTAAACAGAGGGATGTCTGGGCTCCTGTTGATGGTGCAGCTACTATATTAGGCTTGGGCCATGTAGTTCTGAGCTTACTTTACATTAAAAATAAACTTCAATATTTTTTCTAAAAAGAATACACATAGAAGGCCTGGCGCGGTGGCTCACGCCTGTAATTCCAGCACTTTGGAAGCCTAAGGCAGGTGGATCATGAGGTCAGGGGTTCAAAACCAGCCTGGCCAAGATGGTGAAACCCCTGTCTCTACTAAAAATATAAAAATTAGCTGGGCATGGTGGCTTGAATTGCTTGAACCCAGGAGGCAGAGGTTGCAGTGAGCTGAGATCATGCCACTGCACTCCAGCCTGGGCTACAGAGTGAGACTCTGTCTCAAAAAGAAAAAAAAGAATAGAGATCGAGCTGGGCACGGTGGTTCATGCCTGTAGTCCTAGCACTTTGGGAGGCCAAGGTGGGCAGATCACCTGAGGTTAAGAGTTCGAGACCAGCCTGACCCACATGGAGAAAGCCCATCTCTGCTAAAAATACAAAATTATGTGGGTGTGGTGGTGCATGCTTGTAATCCCAGCTACTTGGGAGACTGAGGCAGGAGAATTGCTTGAACCCGGGAGGCAGAGGTTGCGGTGAGCCGAGATCGTACCATTGTACTCCAGCCTGGACAACAGGAGTGAAACTCCATCTAAAAATAAAAGGGAAAAAAAGAAAACAAAAATACAAATCGAGGTTATCAAGGAATTGAAGTGAGTCTTCAGCCAACTGTGTGATTGGATTTCATCGAAAGTGGGCAGCTGCTTCCTAGCTTCAGTCAGCCATAGGCATGGTGGCTTCATTTAATCAGATCTCTCATTTGTCAACAGACACCAGAAATTCCAACTTCTGTATGAAAGCTCCCAGTTTAAAAAGGCTTGGCCAGTTATAGTGGCTCATGCCTGTAATTCTAGCACTCCGGGAGGCCAAGGCGGGTGGACTGTTTGAGCCCAGGAGTTCAAGACCAGCCTGGACAACATAATGAGACCCCACTTCCACAAAAATACAAAACATTAGCCCAGCATTGTGGCGCACATCTATGGTTCCAGCTACTTGGGAGGCTGAGGAGGAAGGATTACCTAAGCCCAGGAGAGGGAGGCTGCAGTGATCCATAATCACACCACAGCACCCCATCCTGGATGACAGTGAGACCATCTCAAAACCAACAAAAAGTAATAGCTCAGCTTAAAAAACAAAACAAAACAAAAAATAAAAATTAAAAAAAAACAGTGTAGCCTAAATACATCTAAGGATGATATTTAGTTCACAGGGGCTGCCAGCTCACCCATTCTGCTTAGGGAGGTTCCTTTCCAGGCTCATGCTGAAGTCACCTTTGAAAATCAGAAATGTATCTGTTCACATTTAGCTTTTACTAGCCCATGGTCAAGGTGAAATAGGGCAAGAACATGGGCAAGTGCCAACCCTGTACTTATGCACCCCACACCAGACACTGCATTTTATTGCCTCTTCTTGGTGTATAGCAAATATATGAGGAGTCCACTCAAACCCATTTATTTGTTTATGACTGAGTCTTGCTTTATTTCGAGGCTGGAGTGCAGTGGCATGATCATGGTTCACTGCAACCTCCACCTCACAGGTTCAAATGATTCTCCCAAGTACCTAGGACTACTAGCGTGTATGACCACGCCCAGCTAATTTGTGTATTTTTGGTATAGATGGGGTTTCACCATCTTGGCCAGACTGATCTTGAACTCTTGGTCTCAAATGATCCACCCACCTAGGCCTCCCAAAGTGCTGGAATTACAGGCGTGAGCCACTGTGCCCGGCGTCAGAACTCTTTTCCCAAACTTTAATCAGAAGGAGGTTGTGGCAGCTCTGTGCAACTTGTCCCCTTTCTTGTTTCTTTGCATAATTCTGTTGAAAAGTGTTAAGTTGTCTAGCAGAATGCTATTATTTTCATATTGCTTTTGTCCTTGAGGAGGTGGCCTGCCTGCCAGGTGCCTGGGAAGTTGAAATACCAGGAAGAAGAGCAAAATCCTGGGTTTTGAGGACTGAGAAGGGGACAGAATTTTGATTGTTCTACAGTGACATAAAACTCTCCCATACCCCATGCCACACTGACAGTCAGAGTGGTGGCTCTAACTGGGAGAAGGCCTGCCGAGCCAATGTGTCCTTCAGGACGGACTTTTATGTTTGTGAGGCTGGAGACCTCCCGCTGATGGTGGTCATCACATGTCATGGCTTTCTTCATTCCTACTGTCCCTTTTTGAGGCTGGACAGTATTTGGGGGATGAGAGAAAATCAAGTTTGAAGGTAAATTAAAATATTGGGCACCCACTGGAATGTTCCACATCTGTAAATACGCATACATCTTTGTAAACACGTAGCATCTGTTTTGGGAGGGTCTGTGTTTAAATCCACAGATGGCATTTTGCCAGGGACCACCTTCAGTTCCCCATTTCTCTCACCCAAGGTGTCCTGCTTTGGAGATCCAGCCCAGGTGCAGCCCATGTGCCCTCATGGGCCCCGAGTTCCTGATCCAACATCTTTCTCACCCACAGGCGTGGCCCTGAAATGGGTTTCCACTGTCTGCTCACACAGGAGGAGTTCCTCTCCTCTGGTTAGTTTTAGGGTAGTCTGGCCTGGGAAGGAATTTGGGACTAGAAAGGATTCCTGGGCTTCGTGGGGACCAAGACTTCCCTCAGGTTGTCATGGAAAATGAGGCTGAGAGCTCTCTCTGCAGCACCCTGGGGGAGGGAATCCGAGGATCCTGCTGGTCCTGGTGGGCGCAGACCCGCAGCCACCCGGGTGCTCAGTGAAGTTCACTCATGGCCATCACTGGTTTCCATGGAAAGGGACTGTGGTCACCGCTGGTTCTGGTCATCACGGGGGAGACCGTGGTCATCCTTGGTACCCGTGGGAAGGGACAGTGGTCATCCCTGGTCCTGGTCCCCATGGAAGGGACTGCAGGCACTGCTGGTCCTGGTCACCACGGAAGGGACCATGGCCATTCCTGGTCCTGGTCACTATGGGAAGGGACAGTGGTCATTCCTGGTCCTGGTCCCCGTGGGAAAGGACTGTGGTCACCGCTGGTCCTGGTCCCCGTGGGAAGGGACTGTGGTCACCCCTTATCCTGGTCCAGGTGGGAGCGGACCGCGGCTACCCTGGTGATGGACCCCACGGGGCACACCCGCGCTACCCCGCACCCAGAGCTCGAGCCGCCAGAGGCCCCCGGTTCCCGTCCCCCTCCCCGCCTGGCGCCGGAACCTGCAAGTTCCGGCGCGGCCTCGGGGAGGGGCGGGCGCGGCCTCCGGGAGGGGCGGGCGGGACTGACCTAGCCGCCCGGCTCCCCTGCCATCCGCGTCTGTGCCGTCCCTGGGGCCTGGTCAATGTCCCGGGCGGCGGCGGCATGCGGCTCCTGTTCCTGGCGGTGCTGCGGCCGCACACCGGGAACGCGGTCACGGCCCAGCGCGTCCGGTAGGTGCGGGCGCAGGGGCCTGCGAAGCCAGGGGCGAGGGGCGGGGAAGCTGGGCGCCCTGCCAGGCCCCCTCCAGCAGCGCCGGGGCCTCCCCGAGCCGCGCGCGCAAACGGACGGGCCGGTGCCTCCCGCCGGGCGCGCGTGTCCCGGGGTCTCGGAGCGGCCGGCGCGGCGGCCTCGCACTTCCCGGTGGAGACCGAGCAGGTGCACGGGCGCGGGGTCGCCCGCAGAGAACCCGGGAAGGCCTCGCCGCAGACGCGGGAGGGGGCGGGATCCGCAGGGATGCGGAGCGGGGCTGGCGGAACTGCGGGCGGGGACGCGTTTCCAGGCCGGGGCGGCGGTGCCTGCCCTGCCCTCGCGGTTTGGGCTCGGCTGTGTGCCGGCGTCCGGGGTCCTGCCCGGCGAAGTCCCTGCCCCTCCTCCCCTCCCCCCTCTCTATTCTATTCCCGTCTTCCTGGCTGGTCAGCTCCTTCACACTCATCCTTTTCTGCCATTATCTTGCGTTGTTTATTTGCTTGTTGATGTGTGTTCTGGTCACTGGAACGCAAGCCCGGGGGCCGGGGAGGGAGCTGCCGCGTTAATCCTGCCGCCTCCCGCCTGCCCGGGGCGCTCGGCCTGTGTTAGCCGGATAAACACCTTCGGGAGGCGAAGCCTGGGGAGTGCCAGGATTAGAGTCCGCAACTCAACAGAAGCCGCGCGCGCCTGTGTGTGTGTGTGTGTGTGCGTGTGCGTGTGCGTGTGTGTGTGTAAATTTCCCGATTTACTCCCCCTTTGTGGGCCTACTTCTTCATCAGTTTGTTGTTTTTTGTTTAATGGAGTCTCCTGTTGCCCAGGCCGCAGTGCAATGTTGGGATCTCGGCTCACTGCAACCTCTGCCTCCCGGGTTCCAGCGATTTGCCTCCCTTAGCCTCTGAGTAGCTGGGATTATAGGCATGCGTCACCACACATGGCTAATTTTTACATTTTTAGTAGAGACAGGGTTTCGCCATGTTAGCCAGGCTAATCTTGAACTCCTGACCTCAGGTGATCCTCCCACCTCAGCCTCCCAGAATGCTAGGATTACACGCATGAGCCACTTCGCTTGGCCTTAGTTGCCCATGTTTATGGTTATTTCTTGATGATATGCTAAACAAGGGCTGGATTATTCATGCCTCCCCTTTCTAGAGCATGTAGGGTAACTTCCTGATGTTGCCATGGCATTTGTAAACTGTCATGGCGCCGGTGGGAGTGTAGCAGTGAGGACAATCAGAGCTCACTCTCGTTGCCATCTTCGATTTGGTGGGTCTTGGCCGGCTTCTTTACTGCAACCTGTTTTATCAGCAGGGTCTTTATCACCTTGTATCTTGGGCCAACCGCCTACCTCATCCTGTGACTTAGAATTGCCTTCACCATCTGTGAATGCAGCCCAGTAGGTCTTAACCTCATTTTACCCAGCCCCTATTCAAGATAGAGTTGCTCTGGTTCAGAAGCCGCTGAAAAAACTAGATAAAGTGATTGAGAGGCATTATGGTGGGATGCTTTAGATAACGTGGTCTGAGAGTCTGTCTCAGGAGATGACATTGAAGCTAAGATGGAAAAGAGGCCATCACTGAGATCTGGAGGGACAGTCGCAGGAAGGAATAATAGCGAGAACAGAGGCCCTGGACTGGAGGAAGCTTGAACTGTGTGAGAAGCAGGAAGGGAACCAGGGTCACTGAAATGTAAAGAGTGTGTGGCCAGTGCTAGGAAGTGAGTCAGAGAAGCAGGCCAGGTCTGGCTTGTACACGGTGGGGGGAAAGCACTTCATGCTTAAGCAATAATCACCTCTAAAAAAAACATGGTAAAACCCCATCTCTACTAAAAATACAAAAACTAACCAGCTGTGGTGGCACACACCTGTGATCCCAGCTACTCAGGAGGCAGAGGCTCGAGAATCGCTTGAACCTGTGAGGCAGAGGCTGCAGTGAGCCAAGATGACGCTACTGCCGCTGCTGCAGTCCAGTCTGGGCGCCAGAGCGAGACTCCGTTTCCAAAAAAAGAAAGAAAGGAAAAAACAATGTTGAGTGACCAAAGAACCTGAATGGGCAAAGAGTTAAAAGCTTGCCTGTCAGGCAAAAAAGGAATATTACCTGTTATTTAATATTTGGCTCCTAACTTGAGCTATAAACCCACATCTTCCAAGGGCCCAAACTCACACCCACCCAAAAGGCCACGTTACTTTTGTCCCAACTCAGAGGTGAATTAATAGAAAACATTACCGCCTTAGCCGTGCTCCAGAGATGCGCTCCCCCATCATTCCACTGGAGTTGCGCTTTTGAAGTTGCCTGTGCTGCTAGGCCGCGGACCGCGGAGGGGAAGGAGGCGGACAGGGTTCATGAAGAAGGCTGACTTCAGCCACGCTGGAGTGGAAGGCCAGTTAGTCACTGTGCTCTTTCTTTTCCTGGCTGTGCATAAGCAGAATAAGGGCTGCTATTTGTGCAGACCCAGCGTTTGTTGTCCTTTGTGGCAGTCGGTCAGAGTGTTGGGAAAAACTATATGGAACCCTCTGAAGCTTCTGAAAGGTTGAAAAGTTCTGCAGAGCCCCGGGGGAAGAGTAGCTGAAGGCAACTGTTCTCTATCCCTGAGGCAGAGGGCAAGGAGTTGGTACACGGGAGCGTAGAGGAATGTATCTTAAATGGGCTTGTTTACTTACTTGACCAGGAACTGACCTGTGATCCTCCGCAGGTGAAGTTCCCTGGAAGGTAGATGTGAATTACCTGCAGGTTGTGTTTGCTCCAGGTTTTTGGCCTTGTGCCTATGCTGAATAAAAGCAAACAGCAGCTCCAGCTTCTCAGGGCTGCCTCTCCGGCTGCTAGAGCCAGGCAGTCACCTCGCTGTTCTCAGACTGTGCACCTGTGTCTGAGTACTCATTTCATCCGTCGGTCAGTCAGGGTCTTCAGGACAGACCCAGCAGGCCTTCACCTCGGGAAGGATTGCCGGGGGAAAGACATCTTCTGCCTTGTGAAAGCTTAGGTTCCCTGAGGAAATGATGCTGGTGTCCTGGACAGGCGGGTAGGGAGGTTCCCTTGGTGACTGAGAATCCCCGTGAGCTAATCAGCAGTGAGCAGCAAGGACTGGACGTTCTCCTCCAAAATCTCTGCCAAAGACCCCGGAGACCACCCTCAGATGACCCTAGACCCTTGGGGAGGGGGTTCCCCAAATGCATAAATCTGGAGTTCTCATCAGCCTGGCAGAATAGGATGTCAGAATTAGGTAAGGCTAGATTTAAAGAAAAAAAGAAGTGGTTCTATTCTTGCGGAAGTTGGTCATTGTAAATCAACACCCCGTACATAAGTAATGGTGCTAAATCCTAATGAATGTATTGGCCTGGGAAGGACAGGGTCCTCTGGGACATATAGGTAGCGACGGATCCCAGACCAGAGGTCAGGGAAAGCCTTCTGCTGCCTTCCAAAAAAATGGCAAGGTTTAAACCAAGTTTTCTTTGTGGCTCAGTGTTCTTCATAATGAGGATGCCAGATGGGTTGTGAAAGGAATTCAAGGAGTTAATACACTCTCAGTGTTTTTAAAGCAGCGTCTGAAACATAGGACCAAGCTCTGATTTTTTTATCTTGCTCAATTTCCTGTCTAAGGGGCCTGGGAAGTCATGTCCTACAAACCATAAATTCTCATCACATAGGTTTTATTTGGCCCTATATATCCTGACTGACTTTGCAATCTGACTCTGGCATAACGTTATGAGACAAGAAAAAAAAATCAAAATATTTAGCCCCAAACATGCTTCTCTGCCTTATCTTGAAATGACCCTGCAAAGCTATCCTTTGTGGGGGAAAATCTGCCTCGGTAAAGAATCTTGGCTGGGCACAGTGGCTCATACCTGTAATCCCAGCACTTTGGGAGGACAAGGCGAGTGGATTACCTGAGGTCAGGCATTGTAGACCAGCCCGGCCAACATGGTGAAACTCTACTAAAAATACAAAAGTGAGCTGGGCATTGTGGCACACATGTAATCCCAGCTACCTGAGTGGCTGAGGCAGGAGAATCACTTGAACCCTGGAGGCGGAGGTTGCAGTGTGCTGAGATCACGCCACTGCACTCCAGTCTGGGCAATACAGTGAGACTCTGTCTCAGAAAAACAAAGCAAAACACAAAGAATCTATTAACATGGCTAGATCTTGTCTTCCAGGCCCTCCCAATCCTGAAGGGATTAACTAAGAGTCCAGCACCTTTTAAAGATCTGAAGAAGGAACATTTGTCATCTATTGTCTCTAAGGGCAGCCACTGTAAGACTTCAAAAGAACCTTGGTCTCCACAATCTTTTATCTTAACCTGAACGTTTCCTTTCTGTGGATCCCAGGTCCTAAGACAAGCCTCAACCAGTTGTTAACCAAAAATGTTTAAATTTACCTGCAGCCTGGAAGTGCCCCTCCTCTCCCCACCCCCTGCTTTGAGTTGTCTGGCCTTTCTGAACCAAACCAATGTATTTCCTAAATGAATTTGATTGATGTCTCATGCCTCCCTAAAATACATGAAAGCAAGCGGCACCCTGACCACCTTGGGCACATGTTCTCAGGACCTCATGAGGTCTGGGTCACTCATTTGGCTCGGAGTAAATCTCTTAAAATATTTTGCAAAGTTTGACTCTTCATCAACAATAGTATACACTTAATGAATGTGAGCTATTGATTAGAATAATGGAGCTCAGTTAGTGAGGTGGGAGAACAGAGCAGAAGGTGTCTTAGGCAGAGGGTCAGCTGATGGAACGGGAAGAGAATACCTCTTCTAGAACTGAGGATCACACAGCCTTCGCAGCACAGAATACTGTAGATCAGTGACTCTGTCACTGGAGCAGAAAGGATGTGCCAAGGAGGGGGAGCAATGTCGGCCCCCAGGGTCATTGGGTGAGGTCTGGAGACATTTGGCTGTCACAGCTAGTGTTGGGGGCTACTGGCATTGAGTGGGACGCCGCTCAGCACCCCGTAGTGCACAGGACAGCCCCTCCCCTCAAGTGACTCCGCTCCAC